CACCGCGTACCTTTTGGCAACGTTAACGCGTTACTAATAGCAACGGAAATAGATACCGGTCCACCTATAATTATTACGGCCGTCCGCGCGTACTTGTGCGTGCGTGCACGGGGATCGAATAGTTACTGTCGAAAAAAATCGGCGAGGTTGCAAAAATAATAAAAAAAGTAATAACAAGATTGCTTTCGAAAAATCGCCATTGGGCGGGTCAAGTAGCGCGAAGCAGCTTTTGTTTTCTAAAAGAAGCCGTAGTTTCTTGTCCTAGAGGAACGCATTGTTTTTCTATCGTGCTCCCGCGGACCACTATGGAACTTTCGCAAAATCAATGTAATTATATTGTGCATGCGTCCTGGTGTGTCTTTCACATCTCGACGAACTTCAAAGTTTTTAATATTGCATGGAATATCGCAAAAAAAAATATTTAAAAAGTTTAAAAAAAAGTTTTAGCTGTTTATACGGGCTATATCGTCATGTAAAATAAACTGACACCTAAAACTCGGATTTTAAATTATTGCACACGCGATTTTTAATTTTTCAAAAATACTTCCCGACCCCCCAGCCCCCCATTTTCAACAGGTTCCGTCACGGGGCAAAGCTGCGTATATGTGCCAAATATGAAGTCGGTTGCTTCAAATTTCGGACACTTATCGTATTTTATAGCAATGTTCAAAAAACTGTCGAAAATCGTGAAAAAAAGGTGGATGTCGAAGTCGGATCGAGGCCATTTCTTACAAGCTTATGTGTCTCGTAGAGGAAAATTTCAATATCGTATCTCCAATGGTCCGAAAGTTATTCGGGAAAAACTAAAACACGAGAACGGAGAACGGACAGACGAAAAAAAAATTTCGACGTTGATCATTTCTGTAGCAGGAGCGATGCGCGCGCGCCTACGCCGTCTAAATTATGCAAATTGTTCAATTTCGTGGGCCTAAGCGTCAGGTCGTTACGTTTGCCGTTTTACGTACCCTACGTCCTCTCTTATTTTTTTTTTCTCAACGAGAATCGCATAAAGTCGAGCTACGTGGGACCGCGACTACCGCCTCGCAAGTTTCGAGCTTAATCGGACCCTAGTGCGACACGAAAAAAAAAATAAAAAAATTAAATTCCACTCCGCGTATTTTAACTTTCAACCCGTCCCAGCGACCACGAATTAAAAAATTTCACATTAATGACGATTTAACTTGAATTCGGTCTTTGAGCAAGCTTTGATTTACCAGGTATGGTCTGTTCATAGATATAAGAAAGTGACCAATTGCTTTTGAATGGGATTATCCACCACCACCACCAGTGTTCGAAGTGTTTTCGGAGCGCGAGCATTGAAGATGCCAAGTGAGATTTTGGCGAAACGTCTGCAGGATTCCAGTCGGATGCAGGATTTGCAGGATTCCAGTCGGAGTTCAACGAGCGAACGGATGATATCCCGGAATATAGTGTCATCACATTTTTCCATCCGTGAATCAATATATATATATATATATATATATATATATATATATATATATATATATATATATATATATATATATATATATATATATATATATATATATATATATGATGACACTATATTCCGGGATATCATCCGTTCGCTCGTTGAACTCCGACTGGAATCCTGCATCCGACTGGAATCCTGCAAATCCTGCATCCGACTGGAATCCTGCAGACGTTTCGCCAAAATCTCACTTGGCATCTTCAATGCTCGCGCTCCGAAAACACTTCGAACACATATATATATATATATATATATATATATATATATATATATATATATATATATATATATATATATATATATATATATATATATATAATCTTGAATTGCACGGGAGTGAAATCTTAGTTAGAATTTTTTTTTTAAACTTGAATACAACATTTCAATTTTTAGTTGCGTATGACGCGTCTGCGGCGCTACACGTTAACGGGCGTTTTGAGGTTTTTGCCAAAGGGCACCGCGTCGGGCCGTTCGGGCAAATGGCTGCGGTCCCGCGCTTATCGCGAACTTTAAATTTGTCCCGGCCGAGTAAGACGGGAGGCACGTAATTCAGCGATACGATCTATTCAAAAGAACGTCTGTAAACCGTCGAGATCGCGACGATAGCGCCCCGCCGCGCATCTGATTCGACTCGTTTAAATTGCAACCCACTCCGACGGCGGGTTCCGTGGGACATAAATCTGTCTCGTTACGCGGTCAAATTGTTTACGTCTTCATGTCTCGCGGGATTGATATGCCGAAAAGGTGGACGACTCGCTCTGTTCTCTTTTTTTTTATTTTCGGCGTGCGGGGCGCGGCGGGACGGGGTTGGGCCGACAAATTGTTCTCTCGCGATCGCAACGACGTCTGTCGAGCAGGCGCGCGCTTAGAATACAAATTGGTCGGCGAAAAGGGAACGAACCCGTCGAGATCCGAACCCTCCGAACTTTTGTCTCCTCGCGTATCTCTAACGTGATATTCTAACTTGAATTCCACCAAAATACGCTTTAGTCCAACCAGAATTCTGCTAAACAACCCGTCGCGTCGTGGTGGTTTAAATCTTGAATTCGACAGGAATTTGATTCTATGAAAAGGAAACTTCTATAAACTTTGCGGGTTTTTCTTTAATGGTAAATTCTAAAATTCTACTAAGTTAATCGTTCACCAAACTCTCGAGCTCGTTTTAAAGTTGAATTCAACAAAAGTTACATGTAAGATTGTTTTATAACTTGAATTCTGCAAAAAGTAAACTTCTATAAACTTTTCGAGTTCTTTAATGTTGAATTCTAGAGGACTTATTATTATTTTTATATTGAATTGGGCAGGAATTACTTCTAACATCGTTTTATAACTTGAATTCTGCAAAAAGGAAACTTAAATCACATAAATTTATCGGGTTCTTTAATGTTGAATTCTAGAGAAATTACTTATTATTACATTAAAGTTGAATTGGGCAGGAATTACATCTAGCATTGCTTTCTAACTTGAATTCTGTCATAAATAACTTCTACAAACTTTTAGGATTCTTTAATGTTGAATTCTAGAGGAATTACTTATTATTACTTTAAAGTTCAATTGGGCAGGAATTACCTCTAACATCGATTTATAACTTGAATTCTGCAATAAGTCAACTCCTATAAATTTATCGGGTTCTTTAATGTTGAACATCGCTTTATAACTTGAATTCTGCAACAAGTAAACTTCTACAAACTTTTCGGGTTCTTTGTTGGCCCCTAGAGGAATTACTTATTATTACTTCAAGGTTGAATTGGACAGGAATTACTTCTAACATCGATTTATAACTTGAATTTTGGAATAAGTCAACTCCTATAAATTTATCGGGTTCTTTAATGTTGAATTCTAGAGGAATTACTTATTATTACTTTAAAGTTGAATTGGGCGGAAATTACATCTAACATCGCTTTATAAATTGAACTCTGTAACAAGTAAACTTCTACAAACTTTTCGGGTTCTTTAATGTTGACTTCTAGAGGAATTACTTGTTATTACTTTAAAGTTGAATTGGACAGGAATTACTTCTAATATCAATTTATAACTTGAATTCTGCAAAAAGTAAACTTCTGTAAGCTTATCGGGTTTTTTAATGTTGAATTCTAGATGAATTACTTATTATTACTTTAAATTTCAATTGGGCAGGAATTACATCCAACATCGCTTTATAACGTCAATTCTGCATACAGAAAACTTCTACAAAGTTATCGGGTTCTTTAGTATTGAATTCCAGAGGAATTACTTATTATTACTTTAAAGTTGAATTGGGCGGGAATTACTTCTAATATCGATGTATAACTTGAATTCTGCAAAAAGTAAACTTCTATAAGCTTATCGGGTTCTTTAATGTTGAATTCTAGAGGAATTACTTATTATTACTTTAAATTTCAATTGGGCAGGAATTACATCCAACATTGCTTTATAACGTGAGTTCTGCAAAAAGAAAACTTCTACAAAGTTTCCGGGTTCTTTAATGTTGAATTCCAGAGGAATTACTTATTATTACTTTAAAGTTGAATTGGGCGGGACTAAGGACTAAAGAACGAAGTTTTAGAACTTGAACAAGAATTATCTTCGCCGTAATTGTCCACGCAATGTAGCACCGATTAGTACTTGAATTCAAATCTAAATTCTACACTAATTCCATTACTATCAATCTTTCGGGTGCGTTTTAAATTTAAACTCAGCAGGAACTATTCGTAACGTAACTTTGTAACATGAATTCCGCTTGTTAATGTTGAATTGACGATGAATTACTCCTAAGAATTATCTTCGCCGTAATTGTCCACGCAATGTAGCACCGATTAGTACTTGAATTCAAATCTAAATTCTACACTAATTCCATTACTATCAATCTTTCGGGTGCGTTTTAAATTTAAATTCGGCAGGAACTGTTCGTAACGTAATTTTGTAACATGAATTTCGATTGTTAATGTTGAATTGACGATGAATTACTCGTTCGAATCGGTTTTGTGCAAAACCAATTTTTCACCAAACTTTCGGGCCCATTTTAAAGTTGCGATTCAACAAATGTTGAGCTTGAATTCTACCTCTTAATCAGCCATTTTTAAAATGTAATTCAACGGAAATTCCCTTTAACTCCGACCTTTCTAAGATTGAATTCAATATGAGTCACAAGCAATGCAAATTTTTTGATTTGAATTCTACAAAAAATAAAACACCGACTTTAATTGAATTCAATGTAAGTACAATTGTACTGAGCCAATCTTTAATCAAGCCTCCGGGTTGTCTTGCAATTGGAGCCTTTTGTTTTAGTATTTGCGTGGAGCCTTGAGCACACTGCTCGTAGTCACCGTAGTCCGAGAACAAAAATCGCCTGCTGCCATGATGACAACGCAACACCGAGTGTTGCAGTAATTTTATCTCTCGTGATCCGAATTATTCGAAAATAAATAATTATCGTATACCACCGTAGCGATGCGCCCGCACAAGCGTCCGGCAAATCGGCCGGTCGTAGTCGGATCCGTAGCTGCCGTATATTCGAAACTTCACTTACATGAATCTGTATCCTGCGCATGCGCCGGTGGCATGGACAACTGGTGGTTCGCTCTCAGTCGACCTCGGTCGGCAGCGTCCTCGTGGCTTTGGCGCGCTCGGTTCGCGTTCTCGCTTAAATTTCCGCCGCGGACACCTACACCGACAAACGCACCCGCGTACGATGGGTCCGCGTCACGACGCCTCGTGGAAGTTACGCTAGTATCACTTTTCCGGTCGGACCGGCCTAAAACTAAACTGGAAGGGGTCAGTTTGGAATTGCAAGGGTGGCGAACGGTCGGGGGCGGTGGCGACGCCGCCTCTGTCCGGTTCGCCGTCGTTGTCAGTACTGCGACGACGAGAACCAGTATGGCGGCCAGCTGATTAGCCTTACGGGCTGTGGTCGATATCGTGACCAACGAGCCCACATACAACGACAACACGGTGGTCGGTATAGTGCTTTTCACGTTGTACCGGTGGTATCACTGAGACGCGGGGCGTTACGGGGGGAGCTCACGTGACGCGGCGCACGCGCGCTCTCTCCCAGTTCGACGTGCATTCGTTTGCGGTGACGGGGGAGCGCAGTGGCGGCGGTGGGTGGCTCGCCGGTCGCATCGTGTAGCGGCGGGGGCCGTTCGTTTTATTATAGTTCGTTCACTGTGCGTCGGGCGTCGGGACAGCGGCGTCGGAGACGCGGCACCTGCAATTCGAAAACGTGGCCGGTCAGAATTAAAAAAAAAAAACGGAAAATACAGGTTTTTTCCTATTTTTATTGCCGCTTAAAAGATTATCCATAGGATAAATGATAAACTCGTTTTTGTTTAACCAGTGACGTTCGTGAGACCGTTTTAATTAATTAAAAGGATAAAAAAGGAGGTACGCCGATTAAGTTCACATTCAAACAAAACAAAAGTCTCGACAACGGTTCGTTCTAGGGAACGAGCTGAAGAGAATATGAATTTATTCACAAAATTACGATAAAACATTGGCGTACCACATTTATTATTTAAATTACTTAAAACGTACGACGAACGCCACTGACTAAACAAAAAAAAAGGGTTCCCCAAAATTAGGTGACCTTTACATATTTCTCTGAAAACAAAGGAAGTGGCGAATTTTTTATGCTTAATGCGAAGAAAATGTGCTTAAAACTTCAGAAAAAGTTCAGTGGCGCACGTTTTATCAAACAATGTTTGGAATTCATAACTATCACACTGCGTCTGGGCATTATGCAACTTGCAATGCACCTCTCCAAATACGACCAAACCCCACGGCCTGCCGATATCCCTATTTGACCTTTGGAAAATTACACAGGGTGTTTCAAAAAACATGTGCCAATACTCCGCTCTAAAAAATACGGCGTTTTCAAAATATGTTCAATTTTTTTTTGGAAAATGAGTAACTTTGCTTCAGCCAGATTAAAATTATGAGATGTACGCCATTGTTTAAAATTAAACTAAAAAATTATTTTATATGTATATTAAATTATTTATTATTATTTATATATTAAATTAAAATTAAACTAAAAAAGTGTTTGCATAGTATTGGGTTCTTCGCCCATGGACATTGAAAATATATACGTACGCCGCGAAAACCCCCTGGAAAAACGGAGGGAAGATTATTTTCAGAAGTTACGAAGGTGGACTCACAGTTATTTGCGGATATCCATTACACGTTGTTTATAATGTCACAGGTCTCTTCTAGGTAATATAAAAATACTGCAAAAGGGCACATTTTCAAGGGCACCGATACAATATACCGGGTGGTTCGTTTATTATAGGAAGAACCGGTCAAAAATATCAAGAAAACTAAATAGTATATTATCTATGCATTATGCTTGTATTTTCATAAGCACAGAACAACTTGTTTGAAATAGAACGCCCTCTATATTAAGAAATACGCTATACCTAGTTATTTAAATTTGTTTAATTTATATAAATATCGAGATATACTAAAAGTGTGTTAAATAAGTAGAATACTTCAATATTTAAAAATTTTAAAAACTTAAAAACTCACAGGACGTCAAAATAATGACGTTTCTGCAGTACTCAATTGTTTTTTTTTTCTGGGGCATTTGAAAGAAAAATATATTTGAACGACATTTTTTCATTTATATTTTTAATGTTTAATGACCAAAGTAGACCTAAAGCAGTCGGGGAAATAGACAGTCGCCACACAGAATTATATGTGAATTATGTCTAGAATGTTCGGAGGAATTCAAAAAAGCCGTAATATACAGGGTTTAAAATTTGTAAGGTGTTGCTTGCCCCGCAAATATAAGTTTATCCAAACAACTTTTGCCTTAAAACTTGTTTTCCATCATTCACATGCAGGTTCTGTGAGGAGATATCAGCGCACCCGGTACATTTTATATTCGACCGCTGGCCCGAAAGTTTGCTTCGTTCGTTAAAAAGAAGAGCTTATAATTGTCTGTTTTTTTTCCACCATCTGAGGATGAAGCGGGTCTACTCTGTTACGATACCGGGGCGACTATACCCGGATGAGCCGCCGCAGCACGGTTTCCATTATAAAAACTAACGATTGAGTGTGACAGCGTCTAAAAAGCGACACGGAAGCGACGACAGACCAAACGTTGTGAGAACTGGTGTTTGGTGTTAATAAATGGCGCTTTTTTGTGGGAACGACCGATAATGCTTCGCACGTTGTTCTGACGCAGACGATCGAGCATCTTCGAGTGGAATCGAGATTATGAACTCACTACATCAATCTGTTGCGTCATCTCGCGTTTTAAGATATCCACGTTATTCTCGAAATTCACCTTGCTTAACCCTCACATTAAACAAAAAAATCGAAAAGCAACAATTGATAAAGACGATATATTTTCCTTCTTATTATATCCTGATCACTATTTTCTATGTGGTGATTTTGAAAATTCATTTTCTTCACTATCAGCAATATCCCCTAATGACGTTGTTGTAAGTTTTTGTAAGTAGACAGGTTTCTTTTAAAGCTTCCTCTACTGATTAAAGTTTCAGAAGAACCTCCAAGTGACATTAATTTTGTTTGTGTTTGTCAGATGGTTATCTGGCCACAACGTATTTCTAAAAAAGAGGAAGTGGTTACAGAACGCCGATTTTCCAACTCGCACTCACTTCAATTCAGTTTTTAAACTTTTTCAAAGGCAAAGGCAATAAAATTAAGCGAGAAAAACTCAATGAGTATATAAAAAACTAGAAGGAATATCGACGGAAAATAGATTTCAAGGCTGGAAATGGTTTATTATTATTATATATTATATGTCTTTAATTTTTGATATTTAACGCCACTAAAAGACCTTCGTCCACTCAGTGGGTGCCCAAACACGTCGGTAAATGAAAGAAACATCAAATTAATGTGAGCCTGATGATAGGTACAGTATAGTACAAGTTCGTGACATGCTGCGTAATTGTTTTGCATTTGCAAGAACAGCAACTCACTAGATCTGATACATGTAGTCAGTTTCAAGAGCTGCCATGGTGATGAATGACTGACTAAACTAAACTCAACTAAAAAAAAATATCCTAAAACCAAAAGTTAATCCAAAGATTGGGTCAAACTAAAAGTTTCGTTTATTTAAACCATGGATCGCGAAGGGATTATTTTTAGGCCTTATCAGGACCACTGAGACAGGTCAAAAAACTGGTCGCAAGCGCACCGCCTTATGGGATGTTCGATTTGAAAGTTTAATGAGTTTAATTGAGTCGAAAAACAATTTTACAGGACTTTGCATAAATCCTTGCAATATACAGGGTGTGCGTGAAAATAATGGAACTTAATTTATGCTATTTTTTATTCAGGGCGTTGGACTTAATTTTATAAAAGTTTTATATTTATAAATATCCCAGTATTTTACACATCCTGTCGAAACTTAATATACAAGCTGATCTAAATTAAGTGCTCACCATTGTTAACTTTGTTATGAGCAGAGATACAAAGTCGGTTAAATTAGCTAGTGGCGCTTTGAGCGTAAATAAGAAACTAGAAAAAACAAGTAGATAGAAATCAAGTGGGGTTATACCTATATATACAATCCATTTTGTGTGCCTCGGAAGTTATAAGCTGTGTATTTATGAGATGATTTTTGAGTTTGAAAAATTTAAAAGCTGGTTTAAAAACAAATTAGTTCCAAACATTCTTCCTAATAGCGTCATTGTAATGGACAATGCAAGTTATCACAGAAGACAGTTGACTAAAACCCCTTCCTCATGTGACACAAAAGCAACAATCCAAAACTACATGTATAATAACGACATTTATTTTCACGAAGATTATACCAAAAAGCAATTAATTGAAGATTGAACCTACAAAAGGAAAAATCTAAGGCTTCCCATTGAACATGTTTGGCACCAACTGAAATCTGCCATTCGTCGTAACAATGTTTTTCCCCGTGTTAACTCCAATGTCCTCAAACTTATAGAAACCGAAGTTTTTAACATCCCTCCACAAAGTTAGGCAAATTCTGTTAAATATATAGAAAAAGCAGAACAATCGTATATCCATATTGCAAATAACTAGAACAGGCGATGATAGCGACAGTGATAGTGATATATTATGTGAATAATTTTAAGTAATTTAAGCAGGTAATAAAATAATTTGTAATTTTATTTTAGATTTAAACATAAATAAATAAATATTGTTTAGTATCTTTCCTAACAAAACCCGAAATAATTAAATTCTAAACAAAGTACAGACCTGTTCGGCCATATTTCATTCTTACAGCTTGCCCGAGTCTTTCCTTAATTCGTATCAGATAGTCACTTTCTTACATCTATGAACAGACTTTAGATAAATTCCTATGACTGTCCTGGAATGTTTAAGGGTAAGGGTCCGCTCGGCAGTGTGTTCTAAAACGGGCTGCGGTTTTGGAGTAATAGGCAAAGTTAATGACGCGGTCGGTTGTAAAAGCGCTACAATCCTGGTCGAAGTATACTTATTTCGGCGCTTGCGCGCGAAAACTACACGCCCGACGCCCGCGGCGGCGACTTGGCAACGGCGCGCGCGCGTTTCAACGTCGACAACGTCGCGACCGTAAAACGGCCGTCGTTCGCGATATTTTTAACCAGAAAATTATTACGGGTGCGTTGCCAAATCGCCAAAACTATGGCCGGGCGGTAAGCGCGGCGCGTACGCATAATTTTTTTTTCCCAGACCCGCTTTCCGTTTTTTTTTGTTTTCAATAAAATCGATTTCCCCAGGTCATCGATTGGAAACTAAATCAATTGCGGGTCGGCGGTGGGGGGTGGAATTTGGCGACTCGCGAGTCGGCCTATTAAAAGGCGCGAAGAAACGGCGCGTGCCTCGCGTTTTGAGGTTAAGTTCGGCGTTTCATTTTTTTTCTCCGTCAAGGTCGCGTGCGTACGGTACGTACATTATTCGTCCGCTGCGGCGGCGGTGGCGGCGGCGGCTGCTGCTGCTGCTGGAAATCTCGCTCTCTCGCTCTCCCTTCCTCTATTGCCCCCGACGACGACGGTGCCGATAAGAGAGAGACGTGTCAACGCACCAACACAACAACAACAACAACAACAACAGCAGCGTCAACGGGGGGGCAGCTGCGGCATGATTCGCAGCGGTAGTTATCGTGCCCCCAGGAAGTCGTTGCACTCGCTGGCGGCGCGTCACGCCAAAGCTTCACGAATCGGGATATACGCGTTTTCGGGGACGCCGGCGTTTACGAAAGAAACATGGCGGCCGTCATCGTCGTCGTGGTCGTCGTCGCCGTCGGCCTTTTATCACACTGCTGAGCTCTGCTGTGTGTCTGTGCGTCGTCGATGCGCGATTCCGTCGCTTTCTGATGACCGGCGCGAACTGGTCGGCCTGCGGTGTTGGCCAGGACGGCGCGCTCGACCCGCTACGAACGGGCCAGACGGATATCCGAACGTAGATCGGCAAAGTTCGCCCTCCGAGCCGCGTAGAGAGAGAGAAATCGGCGGAAGCGCGACGTTGCCGCGTTGGGCGCGCTGACGCCGACGATCGGGGAGTTGCGACGTTGCAAAGCGAAATGACGCCCGCGGGGCGTCAGGGAAGGGAATCCAATCCAAAGGCGTACGCCTAAGTATCAACCACGTCTTGCGAGTCCCGGGGCTACGCCCCCGAATCTGTCGGTGGTACTCTGGGCGAAGTGGTATACTAGCACCAGAAATATAGTGCTTTTACAACCCACCCCGCGATTAACTTTGCCTACTGACCGTCCTAGGAATTTATCTACCTACACTAACAAGCGTGATATAAGTATGTTTTCAATCTTATCTATTTCCTACAAATTAATTAAATTAAAAATTAACCCTATACACCCTATTTTTTGCACAAATTTAAAAATTTTCCAACCCAAAACTTAAAATTTGCCTTTTAATTAAAAAAAAAATCGCAATATAAACTTTAAATTTAAGATAATAATTTAAATTGATAATTTTGTATAATTTTTATCCTCATATACATTATTTATTATATAATAAATTTTATGTTATTTAAAGTAGTTTTATTTAATATTCAAAATATTAAATATAATAATAGTAAAGTATCATTCACTTAAAAAATCGTCACTCCGCCACTAATCGTTCTCGATAAATATTTTCTTCTTTTATTACTCGTTTTTCACTGTTAGACCAGCTTTGTACCGATATTTTAGCTACTTTTTACCGAATTACGTTTTAACTCAACTTAAGTATTCAATGATACGTAATATCAAGATTTAATGTAAGTTTTGTTATGCTATCGAATCGAAAGATGTTTTTTCGTGTAGCTCTCTTCAAAATATAAATCAATTTCGCACAGAAATTCTTTAATTTCTTCTTTATTTGAAGAAGTATTTGGCGATAGTTTTGGCAACAGTGTTTTTTTAATCAGTCCTCAAATTTTTCAAAGAAACTTCCACAGGCTACTGTAATACTTTTGACAAGACTTCTGGAGCCCTCCTGCGTCTGTTTTTGCTGAGTCGAACTTGCTGACGTTTCGCCTTACCTCTGCTCTTCTTGTAAGAAATGAGCCTGATCCGACGCCGGTATCTTTTTTTGCGATTTTCGACTGTTATTTGGACCTTGCTATGAAACTCGATAAGTGTCCGAAATTTGAAGCATTCGATTTCATTTCATGACGGAACTTATTGAAAATGGAGGGGCTGGGGGGTCGGGAAGTATTAAAAAAAAATAAAATCGCGTGTGCGAGGGTCTACAAAAAAGACTATTTTTTAAAAACCGTTTACAAGACCGAACAAATTCTTCAATCAGAAGACACAGAGGATACGGCTTCATAAACTTTTATTCGTGACAATTTTTCAAAAATATACAGGGTGTGCCGCAAATTAAAAAAATTGGCAATAATTTAAAATCTGAGTTTTAGATGTGAGTTTCATTTACATGACGACATATAAATAGCTAAAACTATTGTATTTGAGTTTTTTACGGACGGAACCTATTGAAGTATTCTAAAAAAATCCCGAATGTAGGGGTCTACAAAAAACATCATTTTTCAAAACCTGTTTACGAGACCAAAAAAATTCTTGAATCAGAAGAATTAGAAGATACAGCCCTATAAACTATTATTCGTGACAATTTTTCAAAAATATACAGGGTGCGCCGCAAATTAAAAAAAAAACTGAAAAATTATTATAGAAAAATGGTTATAACTGAAAGACTATGATTCAGATCTCACTTTCTTTTATATTGTGATATAGTCCGCATAGATAGCAAAATCTTTTGTATTTGAGAGTAAAAAAATCTAAAAGACGTAGAAAATTGTTTTTTTACAGAGTAAATTATAAGCCATAAATCAAAAATCGGGGAAAATATGGCCAATTGCTTCAAGAGCTACAATTTTTGTATTTGCGGTTTTCGCCTATCATATACGATGCTCGGGATATTTGAAAAAATCCATATTGAAATCGCTATTTCTTGGGCTGTCCAGACGCCATGACGTCATTGATTATTACTGCCCACTGCATGGTTTCAGAAAAAACTTATTTTCTCGAAGACTATTTACTATTTTCAAAAAATTCTTGACAAGCGGAAAATCCAGGGCTATAACCTCTAGTTCGAATAATGATTGTATCATATACGGGGTGTGTCGTTTATGGGCGAAAAATCTAAATTATCCTAAAAATTTCCGTTTTTGTGGCTAAATTATTGGCGATAAGTGAAAAACCGTTAAAGAGGGGATCATTTTTATTTGAACAGTATCGTAAACCGTGTCGTGAGAGCTTCAGGTTTCGTCAATTATACAGGGCGCGAGATTTTGATATTTACCTATGTTTGCTGTAACTTTGAAGTTCGACGAGATATGAAGGACATTTACATCGATTTTGGGAAAATTCCATAGTGGGGAGTACGATAGAAAAACAACCACACGAAATCGCGAAGTTCTTACCTTTTATAATAAAAAGCTGCTTCGCGCTACGAACTTGCCCCGCCCAGTGACGATTTTTCGAAAGCAATCTTGTTTATTACGCTTAGCCTGTGGCAACCCGTTGCAACCCTGCGTGCTTGAGACTCATGACCATACTCGAGACACAAGAGAATCTTAATATTTAGAAAGATCAAATAGACAACGTACTTTTTGAACTTGAGCTTGGCGAAAATATTTGGGGACACGCTTAGGTTTCGAGCACCTAATATCGTGCTCAGGCTCAGGGGCGTGTAAAGCATTGTATCGGAAACTTTTGCGTGGTTAGGGCGCGTGGTTAGGGCGCGTGTTTAGGACCTTGGACTGGCAAAACCAACCAAACTGAAATTTCTCTTTGGGGACGACATGTTTAAGTCCGCCCGAAACTGGTCGAACGAGGAAGAAATTAGGCGCCATCGCAGAGTAAGTCGAGGCGCGATCAAAAATGGCGATTGTTTGTTTTTTTTTTCTATCGAACTCGTCGAACGACCACTCGGTTATGGTTTTTGCGGCAATTGCGAGCGGATTAAGAGGCGTTTTCCGCCGGCGGGGCCGGAAAACCGTAACCCAACGTTGATTAGGCTACGTTCGCGACGTTTCGAGTTCGTGTAATCCGGTTACGATGGAAATGCCGATTCCGGAACGATAGCAATTACTCATCCGTTTCGGGCGCCATTAACGCCGCGTTCTGTCTGATTCTTTTGATGGATCGACTGCTCCGAATGCGACTTATTCAAAAATTATAATAATAATAATATTAAATTGCCTATATTGTTGTATATTGTTTTAAAAAAAAATTGCACTGAACAACGGCTACAATCCGTCCATTATCGATAAAATTATAAACAAAAAACAAATCCAGACAACAGTAAACTCTATTTGTCCGAAACCTAATACAGAACATGAACAATTTAAAACAATTACATACATAGGAGAACCCAGTGAAAAAGTTTCAAAACAAGTAAAAGCCACCTCAGTTCAATATCTTGTATGAAAATATACAGTTGAGAAGAGGCACCTTTCAAAATAGATATATGTTTAACAATACAACAATATAGTGTGTTACCAAAGCTAGGGACCTTGGAATCATTTTTCACAGTAAACTGACCTTTTTGGATCAGCTGGAGGATATTGTTAACAAGGGCATGCGAGGTCTGGGTTTTATTACCCGTGATAGTACACTGCTCTCATCCGACTATTTGAAAGCCCTTTATTGCTCCTTAGTTAGATCTACACTGGAGTATGCATCAGTAGTGTGGTCTTCACATTGCAGATGTCACATTGATAGATTGGAGACTGTTCAGAGGGTATGTCTGAGGTCCCTAGCATATAGAGCTGGTATAAATATATACAATAACATTCACATTAATTATGTTCTGGTATGTGAGCCTTTTGAGATAGATGGTCTGGAAATTAGAAGAGCTTGCTCCGATATCTTGACGTTATATAAAATGTTGAACAGTGTATATAACTATCCGGCTCTCCTCCAGTCTATTGATTTTAACGTCTATCAAAGGCGTCAGAGCTCCCCAATGTTTTGTATTCCATTTCGTCACGGCAACTATGGCTATTTTTCTCATTTAACTTCAACTTTGAGGTTATTTGACAGTTGCTCTCTTCATCCCTTTGCTGGCGGTCTTCGACTATTTAAGACAAAATTAAAACAGGTGGTTGATTGTAGTTGTAACTAGTGTGATACTGTTTGTTTACTGTACTGTTTTTATATGCTTGCTATCTAAGTTATTGTTTAGTCATGTTGCTATTTATATTATATTTATATTGTTACCTTTTCTTTGTAAAATAAATAAACATACGATTGCTCCCAAAACCGTGCGGTTAAATCCCGGAAATGCTCGAAGTGGCTCGCATCCGTGGGAAACAAAGCTGACGTGGTAAAGTGACGCTTCCCGCACCCTAGATCGATGTGTAATTAGGCATTTTGCGGACAGGAGTAGAACAAGGAATTTAATTGAATGTGATTTTACCGAATTACAACAGCGTTATAAGAAAATGATCTGCGGAACAAAGATGAACGATATCGTGGCAGTGAGAGTCTAATCTTTTCTGATATTCCTTTCACGAATGTGAATGCTGGCGTTCTAGTTCAACAACTTCGTGCTTGACTACACCCGACTCCGTCATGGATGAGCGCCGTCGCCTAGTATATAAACCTTGTAGCCTTAGAATTAAGTTTAGTTTACACTTGATAACGGGTAGTGATACAACTGTCCGAAACGTTGTGTAAGTTAAAAATAAAGACAATGGAAGTTCGACATCTTTTTATTTTTTCTATTTATTATTGAAATTCTTGCTTTATATCGGCTCTGTTTATTTTTCTGGGAAATTCGGCAACGTCGCGCGCGTCGCGATCCGCCCGGCATTGTTGTCGTATTTTTAAGTCGTCATTTTTCACAACCCTGCTCCGACGCTGACG